TAACAGCTGAACTCTGACCTTCACAGCTCATAACTAAATCTGTGTATTCAGTCTAACAGCTGCTGTTTCAACAGGCTGTAACCTGTGTTATTTCTTCACTGTCTGGTTTATTATTACAGCTTCAGGCTAAAGGAAAAGGAAATAAACCCTGAAATGACTCTGAAGTAACAACTTCATCAGAATCCGTCACGATTCGCCTCTCATGAATTAAAACAGTTGGAAAAACTGAGACGAAAACAACCTGATAAGAAACGTTCCTGACGTCACATCAGTCACTTCCGCTAATAACGCAGGTTAGCTTGCATTTAGCTAACAGCTGAAACACATGCTGTTCTTTGGCCGTTCTTTTGTTTTTAGAGTTTAAGGCTGAACTTCAGTCTAATCTGACACAGTTTGACTCTGAGCTCCGATTGGAAAATATTCACATCTTCTGGAGATTCACAAGACAAACGTGAAGCAGCGATGGCTGGAAGTAAAACTTCATTACTCATCATCATGTCTGTCAAATTTGTGCTTGCTGTTCTGGGTGAGTTTTCCTGGATGTTATCAGAGTCTGTGTCTGAAATAGAAATGGTCATAAATGTAGAAAGATAATTTATAAACTATTCAGTCCTCTGTGTGAATCATAATGATGTCAGGAACAGACCTGTGAAATACTAGAGATAGGATGATTTAACTAGGCCGCATCCAGCTACAAAGTTTATATTATGTAAAAATATCAAAACAAAGTATTAATATAATCTCTTTCATTAATCATTTGTTTAAATCATAAATGCAATATGTAAAACACAAATTACATTTGAAAAAGCCCTTTCCTTGAAATAAAATAATGACTTTATAATATGAAACAATATTAAAAACAACAAAAGTTCAGGCAGTAGAATCTGCAGACGGGTCAAATGTAATATTTTTACATTTCCTGTCAACCTAACATTTTTTTGAGATAAAATGGTTTACGGTCTCGGCGCTCGAACCACCGGGCTGAGCAGGTTTTCTGGGGGAAACCCTGATAAGAGATAGAAACTATAACAGCTGACTACTAGTTTTTATTTGTTGTTCTGTTGTTTCTTATTGGATTCTAATTCAAAATAAAAAATAATAAACAAACATTGAATCCATTATTTATTCATTCAAAATCTTTAAAAACTTTAAGTTCTGCCTCATCAATTTTAATTTTCTGATTTTTTTCTAATGAAGTCATTAGTGAGATGGATTAAAAAGCCCTGATAACGACTTCAGCTAAACAGGAAGAAACTTTCAGCTCAGAATGAGACGCTGATTCTGTTCAAGGCTGGAAAAACCTGGAAAAACTGGAAGAAACATTCAGGGAAGAGCTGAACATGAATGCAGCAATAACAGCAGATAAACTGGAGAGCAGCAGAGTGAGGAGCAGAGGTCATTTTGTCCTGCAGCAGCTCATAGCAGCTCAGCTGCAGAGCTGAACCACTGAAAGCTTCATCAGAGGAACGTTTCAACCTGCAGCAGGAAGTAGACAGTTACACTGATGAAAACCATCTAATGGAAACCTGAAAGAACTGCAACCAAACCGTATGTTTATCAGAATAAAAGCACTTCCTGCTCCAGGTCACACAGGATGGTCAGTTTGGTACATTGTAATTTCTCACCTTTGACCTCTCTGCTCCGTCAGGTGATCAGAACCTCTCGGTTCGTTCTGGAGGCAGCGTCACTCTGTCCTGTTCAGCTGCTGATCTCACCGATCCAGAGGCTGTGATATGGAGCAGAACCGATCTGGACTCAGATGTTCTGTTTGTCCGACCTGGTCAGAAAAACTCATTGATCCGGCACCAATCCTATCAGAACCGAGCGAATCTCCTGGACTGGCAGGTGAAGAATGGAGAGGCGTCTTTGGTTCTGGACAACGTGACGACTGATGACAGCGGGACATACGAGTGTCGAGTTCAAATAAAGGAGAAAGAGATGAAACGGATCAGCACCGTCAGCCTGCAGGTTTCTGCTGCGCCTCCTCCAGGTGAGAGTTACACTGGATCAGAACCAGCACCTTTCTGGTTCTGGTTCTCAGATCAGGTGGTGGTGATCTTCAGTCGGATCAGACTAACTCCTGGTTCTGTGCTGCAGGGAACCAGAATGGAAGCAGGAATGATGGAGGGAACAAGAGTGGATCCGTTAGACCTTTCCCTGCAGCCGTTCTGCTCTTTGTGTCTCTGATTCATTTATTTGCTCTTCGTTGGGTTTCAACTTTCTTCCTGCTTCTGTTCGTCTTCATGTGAAGAAGAACAGAAGAGCTGGAAAAAGGCGGAGGCTAGCAGCGTTAACTGGAGCATTAATGAAGGGTGGATGGATCTGAGGGGCAGAGAGCAGATCCACATTTAAAGTGGATCATTTTGGGATCTACTCCTCAGGTCCTCCTGCTGATGAAGCATTTCAGCAGAACAATGGTTCTGATGTCTGAACAGCAGAAAATAGTTAAGCTGGGCGTAAAATAGCTGGCCTCCAACAAACAACTTCATTTTATTGTAAAAGAGCAAGAAGAACCGTCGCTGATGTCAGAGTGAACTCTGAGTTTTACAGGAACTGAACTCCTCCCTGCTGCTGTTGGAGCGTAAACAACAAGTAGCTTTTTCTGTTTTACCGTAAACATAAATGTAGAAACCAGATCAGTGAAGGTTTTCTGAGATCAGCTGACCGATCCCAAACCGTCCAGAGATCCACTCTGACCATCAGCAGAGGTCAAAGGTTAAACGGAGTCTCTGCAGAATGAAGCTCAGAATATTTTGCATTTATGATCAAACTGCTGGTCTGATGAAGGACTTTGTCTTTGGTTGGTCCGGAGGCTGAAGAACGCTGACCCGGTCGGATGAAGCTGGTTTCCACCCAGCAGGTGTTTGTGGGGCCCATCAGGGTTCGGTCAGGCTGGACGGGTCCAGTATGGATGGGGCCCATTAAAATGAAGGTTTCTGTGTTTTTGTTATCCTGAAAACATAATGAAGAAAAACAATTTATTTGTCAGTTTTATCTTTTGGTTTCTGCAGATAAATATGAAGAATTTATTCTAAAGTCAAACTGTTCATGTTGCTTCATTTATCTTCTGTTTTGACATTCAAAGGTAAATTTTAATAAAATCATAGTGAAACAATCTGTGTGTCCATCTCTGTGTTTCATAGAAACTCACCATGTTTAGAACAGAGTTAAACAGCTTCAGCTGCTCTGCTGCCTTTAACCAGATAATTCTTTAAATGTGTTTAATGGAAACACGTTGATTTAAATGACGTTTTATGGTAAAATGTTTCTGGTTTCCAGCTCTATAAAACTCAGTGTATTTCTATAATCTGCAAAGGAAACAAATGTTTCATGTCATTTAAGTCACATGATAACAAGCGAATGTTACTACTGGTGGAAAAGACGAAGAGGACGACAGGAAGTGGTGGGAAGATGAAGGTTTCTAATGACATCATGTGAATGAACTCATCCAGGTGATTTTAATTATGTTTCTAATTTAATAGAAACAGCAAATACAAAACTGTGTTATTTCAACATCAGTGGAATATTGATGCCTCAGCATAACTTAGACCTCTGGAAATGTTCTGGGAGAAGGACCAGGAGAGGGTCAGGTCAGAGGTCAGAGGTCAGCCTGATCTCTAGTATACAGCTGGAACAACTGAAGCTGACTCTAGATCTATAACTCTAGATCTACAACTCTAGATCTATAACTGTAGATCTATAACTCTAGATCTACAACTCTAATTCTATAACTGCAGATCTACAACTCTAGATCTACAACTGTAGATCTACAACTCTAGATATATAACTGTAGATCTACAACTCTAGATCTACAACTGTAGATCTACAACTCTAGATATATAACTCTAGATCTACAACTCTAGATCTATAACTGTAGATCTAAACTCTAGATCTATAACTCTAGATCTATAACTCTATATCTATAACTGTACATCTACAACTCTAGATCTACAACTCTAGATCTATAACTGTAGATCTAAACTCTAGATCTACAACTCTAGATCTATAACTCTAGATCTACAACTCCAGATCTATAACTCTAGGTCTACAACTCCAGATCTATAACTCCAGATCTATAACTCTAGATCTATAACTCCAGATCTATAACTCTAGATCTACAACTCCAG